TTTTTTGTGTGCACCATTTTAAATTGAAATCCGGTTCCAATTGATATGTAGCGCACGTATTATCTAATCAATTTAATCATCCTCATTGATAATCATGTAAACATAATATTAAGTTTTATAATTTTATAAATTAAATTCTTATAATATTGTCCAAATTCGTATTAATTTGCCTTAACCTGTAACTAGAGTTAAAGAATACTAAAAAAACCATTTTATTTGTTGGCGACGCAAACAATTTATTTATTTGTTTATATCAGTGAGTGGGCCAGTCAAATACTGACGGTATTTAAGCTCATCGTTCAGAATGTGATTGCAAATTTAATTTATAAGTGAGAATAACTAACACTTAATAGAATATGAGATATCTGGTCGGAATTGTATGTTTTTTGAATGGTATTTGTTATTCCCCACAAAAACGGTTTTCATTCGCCACTATTAGTATTTAAATCGCTAAACATTTGTTGTATCTAGTTTTAAAACATAGTAATAAATAATAAAAACAATAATTCGTCTACCCGTCATTTTTAGAATTGATGGCAAATGATTAAATGCAAAAGTGGAAGAGAAAAGACATGTTGGTTAGATAACTCTGTTGGCATCTTATGATTTCTTAATGCCTTCAATGCCTCGCTTGTAGGGCAACGACGCACTGACGAGCTTTAAATGCCTCATTTGTCGTGTGCACAAACATCATTAATAACTTGCCACACTCTGGCACTCAGCACAGCACGGACTTACGCGTTTTGTTGTGTAAAATATTAATTTTAAATTACCCGGCCACGACAGCAGCTAAGCGAGAGCCTGGGACTGAGAAACCATTTACCATAAAGATACTTGTATGTTGGCCACCAGCTCTGGGGCAGCTCCGAGACGCCTCGAGAGCTCGAGGCCCCTTGTCCGACATGTGTTGTGAGCTGGTTGTTTTGACATCTGGCTGTGGGCGCTTTTCGGCCAATCGCCAAATAATGCGCATTATTGCATATAAATGTACAGACATATACAGATATATACTATATACATACATATGTATGTTTATGTTACATTAGTATGTTAAATTGTGTGTGTGGGCAGAAATTGTCGCCTTGCAATTGAGTTGTTTGGTGAATAGAGCTTTGGGCGTGCTTAACGCGTGTTGCACGTAACTTTTTTGGCACATGTTTTGGCCATTGGGTGCTCTGCTTACAGGTACGGCCAATTAGTCATTCCTGTGTGTACAGCAACAAGTTCGTGTCTTAAGTCTTTTGTCTTAATTGTTTGCCTTAAGCGCAATCCAATTAATTATGAAGCGTAAATCGTTAAGTCCAAACAGTAGCCGCACAAAAAATTCGTAGCGTTCAAGTCGAAATCTCATTAGCAGTTACCATTTGGCTTCAATACCAGTCTTTTATTTCACCTATAAATGTACATATGTATGTATGTACGCACAATCGTACATGGGCACAAATGGACAACAGACGGCCACATCATTAGCCGACACGGCATGGCAAAAGCAACTTCAAAACCTAATCAAAAACAAGTTGAAAACTTTAATTAACGCGTTTTTACGCAACTGTCGGCAGTTGTTTAACCCTTTCTAGCCCTGTCGACACGCAAACAGGCAAGCAGGCAAGCACCAGACGAACAATCACAAAACCCAAATGCCGCTCCAATGCTTCGCTAAACAAACATGACAAAAGTAATAATTGAAAATCGTGGCAATAAAAGCGCAAATGAATGCAAGGGGTGTGCGCTTCTACAGCGGCGCGGGCAGGAGCGGGGTGGCGTGGCTCTGTGGTGGTGGCGGCTGCGGAAAAATCAACAGCTGCTTTTATTGCTGCCAAGCCGCCAAGCTGCCGACGGCTGAGCAGCAGCCATTGTTTCCACTGCTCGCTCTCTTCGTGGCCTGTATGTGAGAGCGAGTGCGGTGCACGGTGTGCGCATGTGTGTGTGAGAGTGAGCCGGCTAGCTGGGCTCTGGCTATGTTCGAATCGCAGGGGAAGCGCCCGCAACTCACCTTCCAGTTTCTCATGTTCGATTTTTAATGGCTGACTGCTGGAAGTGGAAGTGCGTTCGAAACGTGTGCCCTGGAATGTGAAACGGTTCTGGTTCGCTTCTACCGAAACGGTTCTGGAGCTACAATTTAAAATGATTGTTTTTAAATAAATATACGCCACAAACGCTCATCAATATCAACGCCTAACAATAATATTAATTTAATTTCTCATTTGAATAAAATGCTCATAAACTGTCTTAAATTGCGACCTAAAGCGATACAAATTCAAACGGGTTTCTTCTTAAGATCGACAAATTTTCGGAGATATTTATGTGGAACTGATGTATGCACAGCCTATTGTTTGCTCCGGTTATTGATTATGTCGTTGGGGAGCCGTTTCATTTGTTAGAAGGCAAATGGAACCAGGAAACCAGATCAAAATGGAAATTAAACTCCAAGCTAATGGGCGACATATCTAACTGACGATCGCTTGTAAATTTTGTTGTGCATATAAGTGTTTTTATTTCTTTTCCTAGCATTTCTAAGCTAATCAAAACGTAAAAGTCATTGGTTTTATTATGCAAAATTAAAATTAAAAGCAAACAACATTTGAACGTACGAATTGATTAGCGATTTCGCAATTTTCTCGGGCGTGAACAAACGAGTGCGATTCACAAAGCGTGACTTTTGATTTATGCAGAGCCGCGATTGGGGCACATGTTTCGCATTTGGAGATTGCTTTTTGATGTCCACCAAGTAGTGTGGCTGTTGTTGTTGTTGCTGTTGTTGCTAAGCACATTTCAATGTCAATGAATCGATATTTAACACATTTTACTTTTATTTTGACACTTAGCGGCCGTAACTTATAGTTTGCATAATGATGTCGGCAGGAGATATATATTCATACATACATACTTGTATAGTATGGTGTGCTTATGATATATCGCAGTCGTGCTAATGTGCAACGCTTCGTTGAAAACATGTTTAATAAATTGTTATTAAATACGCATTGGAAATGCGTTAAGTGTGCGCCGAGCGCTTAAATAAACAAATTAAAAAATAATTAAAAATCAATCAATTTCGCAGATTTGACGATGTCTTTCGATTGCGTCAGTGGCAGCAAGAGCCGATGCGCCACATTAACCCAAATAATTGTTAATTGCTCGCCACGTATTCGAAATCAATTTGCTGGCCTAAAACCGAGGCGTACTGGAAACAAACAACAATTCTTTGTGCTTAGCATGTTTTTGTGAAAACGAATACGGCTTAGAAACACAATTCACTAAAATGTGAAAATGTGAAATGCAAACATCAACGCCACACATGTCCCAAGTTGGCGAGGGAAGGTCGGGGTGCATGGGGGCCTCGCTATGTAAATTATAACAATTAGTGGCTTGATTTGCGGTTTTGTTGCCGATGCTCGAAGCGATGCGCGGTGTCAATAAAGTTGTAGGCCGCTGCCACAGCCAGAGCGCAGATTGAAACGTCGGCGCCAAAAACAAAATCAACAAAACTAAATGCTTATTAAAAGCGAGCCCGAAGTCGGTGTCAGTGTGAGCGTAGAGGTAGAGGTAGGGGCAGTGCAGGGCAAGGCAGGGCAGGACGAGGTAGGGCAGCAGCACTCAACCGTTTCAACTGTTTCATCGAACAGCAAAGGGAAAAAGCAGCGTGAAATTTAGTTGCACTCAATCGAATAACAAAATTGAAACACAAATGCCAAAGTAATAAAGAGAGCGAGTGGGTGAGATAGCAATAGCCGAACAGAGCGAGCATTTGACAAATCAACTAAGAAAACCAACAAGCGCAGCCATTTTTCAAAATATGCGCCTGCGCCAGAGCAGTACAGCTATACACAAGCCAATACAAAAGGCAACGCCCATTCGCTGTATCTGCATGTGGGAGAGTGAGAGAGAGAAAGAGAGCGAGTGAGTTGTGTGCATGTGTGTGTATTGGTGTGTGTGTGCGACACAGTTGTCAACCGCATGACAGCTCCAGCGCGCATAATAAAGTCATATCGCGCCCTAACAAGCCCCACGAAGTCCAAGCCAGTGGCTGGGCGTGCGAGCAGGTCAGTGTGTGAGCGAGCAAGAGAACACAAAAAAAAAAAATTGCCAAAACCGGTTTCGCACAAAGGGCGGCAGGCATACTTGTTGGGGAGCGTTGGAGCCACTGCGCCGTCGCTACCAAGCTTGGTAGCTCGTCAGGCCAAAAGCTACTTTGTCGCTGTCAGATTACAGGTGACAGCGTCGAGTGTCACAACACAACAAAATTCGCGCGACGGTTAAAAGTCCAGAACGTAATTCAAACAAACTCTAAGGGCAGAACCTCGGGCGACTTTGCAGGCAGGCTGGAGACTCTGCCAATCGATCAGTGGTAACAGTCAGTCAGTCAGGCAGGCAGGCAGGCAGTCAGACAGTCCGTCAGCGTTTTGAGAGAAATCGTCTTCGTCTCTATCAACAACATAGGCTCTCTCGCTCGAGCATGCACACTCGCTCTCGCTCGCGCGCACACAAAGAAACGCTGTGCGCTCTCTCTTGCACTGCAGAGTGTGTGCTTTGTACGCGTGTGTGCGTCTGTGTGTGTTAACAGTTCAATCCAACGGCAACGGCAACGGCCGAGACTGCTGCTTCTTGTTGTTGCTGCTGCTGTTGCTGCTACTCGTCGTCGCTTCGTCGCAGACGCAGGCAGCTCTGATTAGTTAATTTAGTCGTTGCGCTCGCAGTGAACGGACGTGCGCGTCTTAGTTGTCGGAACAACTCAACAAAGTAAAACACTGAAACACACGCCAAAAAGCAAAAGAACGCAGATTGCAAATTGAATTTCGAATTTAGAGAAATAAATTGAAACAAACACGCGAAAGTGATAGTGTCAAGAAAATACAAACACACGCACATACACTCGTGCAACTGAGCATCATCGGCAAGTGAAGTGAGCAACACAAGTGCGAACTAAACCGAACAACAAATACTCTTTCTGTGTGTGTGAGTGCGCCGTGCAGGTTTCTGGCAACATTTCAGCGCCCACACAAATGGCCCTAGAGGATCGTTGCAGTCCACAATCAGCGCCAAGTCCACCAGGTTTGCCTCAATCGCCGCAACACGCGCAACAACAGCAACAACAGCAACAACAACATCAACACCACCACCATCACCTAAGCTCGCCCACAACATTTATTGTCGGCTCAAGCACAGCCCTGGACATGAGCCTGCAACATCAGCATCAGGGGGCGCAGAGTCCGCCAGCAGTCGGCGCTATATTGCCGCATGTGACTGCCACGCAGCTCTACCAGCAACAGCAGCAGCAGCTCCAGCATCTGCATCACCTCCAGCAGCTGCAGCAGTTGCATCAGCAGCAACTGGCCAATGCCGGCGTGTTCCACCATCCTGCCGCTGCCTTCGATGCTGCCACCGCTGCGGCGGCTGCTGCCCATGCTGCTGCATTGCAGCAGCGCCTCAGCTCGAGCGGATCGCCGGGCGCTCACTCCACAGCCTCCTCGACACCTGCCTCAACGATGACCATCAAGGAGGAGGAGAACGACTCCATTATGGGCGACAGCTTTCACAATCAAACGGCCACCACAGCCGGCACAGCCACCGAGGACGAGGAGGACGACATCGACGTGGACGATGTTGACGTCGATGAACATGAGCGCAACAGCGGAGCTGGCGTTGGTGCAGCCCGCATCCCGCCCCCTGCGCACCAGCAATCGGCCAAACCATCGCTGGCCTTCTCGATATCCAATATTCTGAGCGATCGCTTTGGTGCTGCGGACGGAGCCACCAAACAGGGTAAGCAGACCACTCTGGAATCGCATGCAGCGGCTGCTGCTGCCGCCGCTAGCATTTTCCGGCCCTTTGAGGCAAGTCGTGCCGCCGCCGCCACGCCCTCCGCCTTCACACGTGTCGATCTGCTCGAGTTCAGTCGCCAACAGCAAGCTGCTGCGGCTGCGGCGACCGCGGCCATGATGCTGGAGCGCGCCAATTTTCTCAACTGCTTCAACCCGGCAGCTTATCCTCGCATCCACGAGGAGATTGTCCAGAGCCGCCTCAGACGCAGTGCAGCGAACAGCAACAACGTAGTGTTGCCGCCACATGGAGGCGCCTCCAGCAAGCATCAGCTAATCAGTGAGCCGAGCGTGGAGAAGTCAGCACTGGGCTCGCTCTGCAAGACGGTCTCGCAAATTGGCCAACCAACCGCGACTCCCCTGAGCACCATTAGCAGCTCGAGTGGCAGCAGCCAGGCCAACAATCTGGCCAGTCCACCACCCGCCTCAAATGCATCCACCGCTTCAACTACGTCCACCGCCACAGCCACATCCTCGGCCTGCTCGTCGGCGTCCAGTTCGCTGAACTCATCGCCCAGCAGTCGCCTGGCTAGTAGCGCCAACAACGCCAGCAGCCCGCAGCCCATTCCGCCACCCTCGGCTGTTAGTCGGGACTCTGGCATGGAGTCCTCGGATGACACACGCTCCGAGACCGGGTCCACCACCACGGACGGCGGCAAGAATGAAATGTGGCCCGCCTGGGTCTACTGCACTCGCTACAGCGATCGTCCCAGCTCAGGTTAGTATTCCATATATAATGCTAAGATACATATATACACTAGCTAAGATCCTATAATGTTCGATTCAATTAGGTAAGGGAGTAGAAAAAGATCTGAGTTGAGTTTGAAAACTAAAATTATGAATTGAGGGACTCGTATAGAGATAGAAAAATTCCAATCTTTATCGGACTGATTTTGATTAAAGCTAGTATTTTCAATTAAATTAATTAACTCAGTTGGGGTTGTATACGAATGTTTACAAATTTAAAATCAACTAACGAAGATAGAATTTATAATTTGTATTTGGGTTTCTTTTGGAAGTACCAGGCTTCTGATAAATGACTATTAAGTGCAGTGAGACTATTCGACTGTTACAAAAGAATTTCGTAATGTCACACAAATACTATATATACACATATATACATATGTATGTCAGGCATAGACATTCGTACGCACATATATCATGCACGTAGGCAACATGATTGGTGCGGGACCACCCCCATGCGCAGGCGGCGACCTTTCATGCGATGGTTTGTTGCTGTCATAAAAGCGAAGGACACTGCGACAATTAGAGAATACAATTGTCGGCAGAGGGCTTTCTTCTTTCTCAGCTCGATATTCGAGTTCGAGCTCGAGTCGGACAGCCCGAGCCTTCCGGCCGCACGCAGAGTCCGGCTTTGAAGATGACACTGACTGTGACACTTTATGTGACAACATGTAGCGCAAGGGGCAATTGAGTTCGTTTTCTTATCGCCGCCACGCTTGCAGTGGCAGTGGCAGGGGCAGGGGCAGGGGCGCTCATTGGCGTAGGAGTCAAAGAGCGAAGGTCACACACACACACACACGAACACACGAACACACGAACACGTACACGAGGGGCCTTAATAGGAGCTGGCGATTGACGGCGGCGTGCAGGGAAAGTGGCAATTAAATGAAGAAAGAAAAAAAAGAGACACGCACAGACAAACCCGTGTAGTATGCAGCTTGATCTGGAGTCGCATTCCTTTTGGAAAATGCGCCCGGCCCGATGCTCCGATTTTTCCCGATTTCAGTTTCCTCGTCTTGCTCACTGTTTTCGTTCGCTCTATTGGCGCAGCGCGTTAATTGACAAGTTAAGTGCTTTTTTATGACTGGAAATGGTTTTTTAATTTGGTGTCGATATATGAGTGCCGAGTAAAATTCCCGAGGCGTTGAAATCGTAGCCGAACATAGCCTCGCACTTTTCCATTTCGGAGAGATAATATTTACAAGTATTTATTTGTGCATGAACTATGTGTGTGTGTGTGTGTTGCGATAAATGGTGGCTGACTAGCCATCCCGCAAATTATCAAAGCAGGGTGCAATTATTCAATTAAATTATAATTTACAATGTGTTAGAAATGGCAACTGCTGGCAAATGTTCGCAAATCTAATAAGCACTCACGACACACTCGCTAAACTCTGGCCGACGACTTGCAATTAAAACAATTGCCAATTAGACAAAATATTATTAAGTCATTTGGCATTAGTCCGCCCGATTGCGCAAGAAGCTGCCCAGCGATTGTTGCCAGCTTGCCAGCTTGTCAGCTCACAAGTTCACAAGTTCTCGCAAATGCAGAGCGAACTGTCCACGTACTTATGCTCGTGTGTACAGTATGTGCAGTATGTATATTAATTGGTTCGAGGGCTGCCAAAATGCCACAAATGCCACTGGCCAGACAGCCAAATTAATTTGGCTAAAATGTGCCACACACATGCACTCGTATGTATACACATGTGTGTGCGTGTGTGTGTGTGTTTGTTTGTTTGTTTGGGCGCTCGTTATGCAGAAAATGGCCGCCGCCGACTGCCTAGACACATTTCAGTTCGTTAGACGCTGCACAACATTTTCTGACAGCTGACAAATTGGACACTTCCACACACTGCCACTGACCCGGCCCGGTCCGGCCCGGCCCGAACCTAACCGGGCCCGAGGCATAGTCGCCCCATAGTCGCTCTCTAGTTGCCTTCCCGACATCGACGTCTTCTCCGACTCCGACTAAGCTGTCAGGGCGCTGAAAAATGAGCATAGCACGCAAAATATTTTGAAAGCGAGACAGCCGGCACTCATACATACATACATACATACATACATACGTGCTAGTAGTAGTATAGTCGTATGCTAATTAAATCATTAATATTATTAATTGCATTAAGCAGACGTGTCGTGCATGCCGACAGATATTATGCAAAATAGTTTCACAATTTACTCACTTCTTCCATTCTTGTTTCGTTTGCTCCTTTACTACAGGACCACGCTATCGCCGCCCCAAACAGCCAAAGGATAAGAACAACGACGAGAAACGCCCTCGAACGGCCTTCTCCAGCGAGCAGTTGGCGCGTCTAAAGGTAAGCCGCGATCTCCATATCATTAAAAAACCTCTAAACAACAAACACCAGAAAAAAACCACTTCGATAGCAAGTAGGTAGCAAGATTTCGATGGAAAGTTTCATATTGAAATCGTCAAGTCAGCTTTTTACAAGTTCCTTCATTAATTTCTTCGTCAAAGTCTAACACCATGAGAACAAATATTTGGTTACTATTCGTTTTTTTTTTTTACCATATATAGTCTGTAGCATCGCTTCATATCATACACTGAAACTATAAATTTAAAATTATGCCATTTGGCAGTAAATGTAAATGCAGCTGCAAAGGCTACCACATTTTTTTCAAGTGTACACATCACACACTTTCTTTTGTATCTGAGAGTCTGTTGTGTCAGATTTGCACCAAAATATTTATAAATATTTCGTGTGGCCGCCTGTGGCGCGTTTTATGCGCTGCATCCTGGAGGCAACCGCAAGGACGCAACATGTCCTGTTTGCGAGCTGGCTGTGTTGTGCCTACTTAGCGCAAACTGACCAATTAGACATGGTCATATTTCATTTGGACTGGTCTGTGCGACCAGCGCCTTTCAACTTAACCGCAAATAATTGATTTGCCGTAGTTGCAAGCAGGAAGAAAACAGAAAAACAGGCAGCACAGATATGCCTACCTATAGGAGATGGTGCTGTTGTAGTTGTTGCTACCCCTAGTTGGGCTCGATGCGTACCTGATTTTCAACATTGCCTCCATTCTCTGCTCTTTGTGTGTACTTGCAGCGCGAATTCAACGAGAATCGTTACCTCACCGAGCGCCGCCGCCAGCAACTGAGCTCCGAACTGGGTCTGAACGAGGCGCAAATTAAAATCTGGTTCCAGAACAAACGCGCCAAGATCAAGAAGTCGACCGGCTCCAAGAATCCACTCGCACTGCAGCTGATGGCCCAGGGTCTGTACAACCACACGACCGTGCCGCTGACCAAAGAGGAGGAGGAGCTGGAGATGCGCATGAATGGCCAGATACCGTAAAAGGTGCTCCTGCCCCCACATCCGCATCCACATCCGCCTCCAATTCAAATCAAACACAAATTCCAACCTCGACCTCAACCTCAACCTCAGCCTCAACTGTAGCCAAGTGTTGTTGTCGTCGGTGTCTCAGTGCAATAAACCCCCTCCCTCCCCAGCCAGGACGCTGGCGTGGAGCTGCAAGCGATTTGTGCGGCGTACAAAATTGTTCATGTGATATAATTGTAATATACACGTATTTATGCCTATGTTTATGTTTATGCCTATGTATATGTATGTATCTATTTATGTGTAAGTTGTGCAACCCCTTCTAAGTTGCTAGCGTATTTATTGAGAAATTGGGAATCCCAGCCACCATTATCGTGTATCGGGGAGTACATCTATATACTTGTACAAATATATCTCCACCGCACAGATACTGGTTGCTGTTGCCTTTCCGCTTTGAAGGTCGCACCCCCTGAAAATGGGAAGAGAAGCCTCCAACGTTTATTCCTACTCCTATTTCGCTTAAATACAAATACAAATATGCCTAAAATCGCCTGTAAGTAACTAATAGCTATTTAGCCTAATTTGTAGTTCCAACTTCAACGCGTACGATTGCTATGATCAAGTATTTACAAGTATAGTTCATAAGAGAGCGTGTAAAACGAAAATGTTATCTGTAAAAAGCTTGAAGAACGCACTCAAAAACAATACCTACAAGAGCATTCGTGGAGTTCATGTGCTAAAACAAAAATACAAATAATAAAAAACTATACAAATTCAATATTAGTTTTATTTATTTCGGGAATGTGGAAACTGCAGGACTCAAGTGGGTTTCCATTTCAGGTTTATGAAATAGGCGCTCCATCTCCGGAACTGGCACAGCCTGCTTTCCGCCGTCAGCTAAATGATTGCTTTAAGACAGTAACTTTTATCTCTAGGCATAGGTGGATTATCCTAAAATGCTGTTTATAAAAATTTAATAATCTGCATCAAGAACCAACAGTCGGTCCGCTATTTACTTTACATATTCCTCATATTTCTATGAGCTTTTTCTGATCCGAAAAGTATGTAGTCAAGTAAATATAAATATATAAATAATTAATATATCTTTCAAGCGAAGTGTAATATAATATACATACTCCAGATTGCAGGCAGAAGGAACCAGCGCTGCCCCTAAAAAGTATTTACATATATCATTAATTGATTGATTTAGCCAGTCCCCAGCCGCTAGGCAACGAGCCAGCTTTTTTATTTATTTTTCCAGCTTTTCCCGCAATAGATTTTCTCCAATATACTCATAAGTATTGTATATTAAAATCTCTCTCTTCACTTCTTCCATCTTCAATAATACTACACTGATAAAAACAGGGCTAACGTGGCCTTCGTCGCGCTTCGTAATTTATATTACCTTTTTATAGGCTGTACCGAAAGGGTCCGTCCGTCCGTCTGTTTGTATGTATGAACGCAATGATCTCAGCAAGTACAATAGCTAGGATAATCGAGCTTGGTATTCAGGTTCCCCTTATCCCTAGGCAAATAGAGTTAGTGTTTTTTTTCTGATATATTGTATGTATGTATTTAATATATTTTATTTTATTTTATTTAATTTTTTAAAATAATTTAATGTTTTTAAAATAATATAATTTTTTAAAATAATTTAATTAAAAAAAAATTTTTTTTTTGTATAGCGTTCCCCCTTGTTTTATTTTAATTGTATCTGCAACTAGTTTTTCTATTCTACAGTGTGAAGCATTGAGAATTTCCTGAAAATTTAAATACTTTTTTCTTTAATGTCGAACTGCATAAATATGAGAATTATTATTTAGTTGTGTGTTTGATGATTGTGGTGTTGGGAAAGCGATTCACCCCCCGTCCTAATCAAGAATTGAAGACAATGCCTTAAAGCCTTCAAGAATGCCACTTCGGAGAACACAATTAATGGCTCTACTTCAAAGCGACTGTGACAGCTTTAAATCATGCGAAAATGTCAGGAATGGGCAAGGGTGTGATTGAGAGTGATGTTGGGATTGGTGCGGGGGATGGGAATGGGAGTGAGGGCGGGATGTGGGCTGTGAGCAATTCTGCTAATTGCACAATCAAAGCCCATGGCTGAGTGACGGCAACAGCATTTGATTCGATTTAATGCCGCTGCTCCATTTAATTAAAAACGAATTTTCATATAAACAAATATTGTGACAAGACAACAACAACAACAACAACAAGAACAACAACAGCATCACCAAAAAGGCGCGCAAGACATCAAATGATTTATTAGCACAGATTTCAATGCAATTGTGGCGCGTTAATTTGCTGAAAATAAATGCAAGCGCTCTGATAGACCGACAGACAGATCGCGAGGGGGTTAGTAGGGGGCAGCAGGAATGCCGAGGGGGCAGGGGTGGTGGAGAGGGGAGGCGATATGCGAGTACACTCATACATATCTGCCGGTGCCTCTGACATTTACTGGCAAGCGTTGATGTGTGGCTGGCGGCGTGTTTGGATCGTGAGCCGATTTGATGAGATCTCTGCGTGTTGTTTTTGGATCAGAGCCGACGCGTCGGGAGTGTCGGCGAGGTGGAGGTGGAGGCACTGGCGGCACTGGCGGCAGCGGCGGCAACGGCGACACACATAAAATGAATTAATGCAAACGCTAATTGCACCGACAAATGCTCGCTAAATATGCGTATACGTAATGTAGCTGGCTTTGAGCCGCATCTATAGAGCACCAATTGCTGCAGCTGGTCGCCAAGCAGCCAAGCAGCCAAGTAGCCAAGTAGCCGGGTTGCCAACTCGACTACTGCTCGGCATCGACGCATCTTAAATCAGGCGCATTATAGAGGCGCAAATCCATTTGCGCACGTAATGAACCAATTAGCCAATTTGCCATATGTGTGTACTGTGCGGCCTAATAAGTACAGTGAACACCGCTGAAGTGCAACGAAATTGCAGATCTTAAAGAGTATTTTATACAGCCTTTATCTGAGTTATACTTGTAGATATCATTGGCATTCGCAATATCACAACTAAAATAAATAAAGCACTGACACCCTATTCGACCAGGAGGGGTAGTTCCGTCACTAAACAAATCACAAATACCGCAGCAAGCATTTGATTCCATTTCAAGAGGTGCACTGAAACACACTCTGAGGGGGTGTGACAGATCAGATAAATCTTTCCCATCCATCTGATTGTTTGTCCCGTTCCCTCTAGTTCTGACAAGACGAGAACGAAAAGGAAAAGTCTTATCCACGTTCAATTGTAAGCCGACCAGTCTAGAATAGATGTGATCTTTCGAGCCATATCTCCTAAAGATAATATATAAATCCGAATATTTGTTGGCCTACCAAATGATTTTGCAAAGCTTGAATCGAATCCAACTAAGCGCTAATGATATTTTTAACGATATAAGTAGACACAATAGTTTTTATTATTGTCGGCTATTTGGTATATAACTACTATAATGTACTGATTTGAAAACTGTTCTACTTAAGCGCTATCGATCGTGCCAATTGGTGCTCAATAGGGCGTCATAGCGCGTCTTTCCCGAATGATACGGAAATGCTGCGGCTTTTGGGCATTGAACTAAACTTTACAGAGCGTTTTATCAAAGTGAAATTTCAACACTTCTAATTAGCAGAAATTGCCGGAGCTGACACACTAAATTTCACTTTCAGACACCGGAATTTCAATTGCGCATACAATGTAGCCGCCAAAGATCCTCGCCAGCAACAACGGCAACGGCAACGGCAACGACAACAACAACAATAACAGGTCCAACAACTTGAACTCCAGTCGAGTGTTTGCTTTTGTCGCCTGCTATTAAAAAGCCACAAAAATACTCGACGAGTGCGAGTGTTGTGCGTGTGTGTGGGCGCTACTTTGTTGGGGGAGGGTGTGATGGCCGGGAGGGAGGTGGGGGCTGTGGCTGGAGATGGAGCCGGAGCCGGAGCTCCATGTGTGTGAGATTGTGTGTGATTTATGCGCTTTGACGTCGGCTACAAATAAATCTGCTGACGATCGCTAGCGCGCGCCCCTTTGATATGCTTTAAAGGCACACGTGCTCCCCTCCCCATCCCCATCCCCATCTGCCCCCTTTGCCGCGGTGGAGGCAACTTGTTGTTGGCGTTGCCGCTAATTGCATTTTGGGTGGCACATGAGGCCATGACTGTTTTACAGTTTGTTGTATTAATTGCCCGGACCACAAAATTCGAAATATGCATCCACTAAATGTCGAAAGTCAACTGCACGCCGCTGAATACTGCTCCCGAGATTTATTTGCGTCTATTAAATTGGCGGGGGACGGGCGGAATCGCTGGCAATATCGCTGGCGAAGACGATGGCAATGGCGGTGGCGATGGCGCTGGCAAGTGTAATGGGCAATTAGAGCTGCCACTTGTTTCCGTTTCGCTTTATCAATTGATTTACGATGCGAAAATAAAATGCGTTTCTTATGCTCATGTGCACTGAGAGGCCCCACGCCTCGGCCCAGGCTCAGATTCCGGAGCTGACGAGCGCCATTTGCCATTTATTACATTTCACAGGCGCATGGAAATAAGATTTGTTTTATTTTTATTTGTATTCATCAGCGTGTTGGCATTTTATTTCATGTTTGGCGCTTGAGCATGAGCAGCAGTTCCATGGAAAGTGCACTCAATTATGGCCAACAGACAAGCGGTGAGCGTCAAGTGTGCGCAGACTCGCTCCGGCGCTACATGGCTACATGGCTACATGGCCACATGGCTAGGAGAGTACTGGCTACGAGGCTTGTGAAATGTAAGACTTTTGGCCCAGACAGCCTAAACAAACATTCAAATACCCAGCGAGCCGCACTTGGCTAAGATTTCAGCAGAAGTCGACGCCAACATAATGCTGCACCAAGAGCAGCAACATCCACCAGCCACCATACATCAACGCCATCAACACCATACCCATACCCCTACCCCTACCCCTACCCATACCCAGAGCAGCAGCAACAACAACAACAACAGCAACGCCATCAACTCGAAACGTCAATTCTG